CCCGATGCGGGACTCGATCCCAGGACCCTGAGATCATGACCTGAGCCGAAGGCAGACGCTTAACCATCTGAGCCACCCAGGCGCCCCAATTTAGTCTTTTAAAATGATCACTCTGAGTATAAAAGTTGCCTTTCAGTAAAGCCTGTTTACTTTTTTAGTTTATTTTTTATTTTTTTAAAGATCTGTTTATTTATTTTGGGGGGTGGGCAGAGGGAGAGAGAATCCACAAGCAGACTCCCTGGCAGAGCATGGAGCCAGAAGCAGGACTCGATCCCAAGACCCTGAGATCACTACCTGAGCCTGAACCAAGTGTCAGACACTTAACTGACTGCGCCACCCAGGCGCCCCAAGCTGTTTATATTCTTAAAAAGGATCACTCTAGCTATGGAGAGAATGGGTTGGAGAGGAGTATAAGAGAAAAAGCAGGGAGACCTTTAAACTATTACAGCAGTCAGGCAAGAAGAGGTAATGCTAGCCTGGGAACTGGATGCCCTCAGGGGAATGCAATGAAGTAGATGGAGATAGGAAGGAAGTATTTTGGAGTTAGACTCTATAGGACTTGCTGTTGGATTGGACATGGAGGTATTAGGAGAGGGAACTGTTAGAATGACTCCCAGGTTTTAGTCCTATTTCATTTAATCCTTAAAATCAACTTAGAAGTAGGGGTGCCTGTGTGGCTCAGTTAAGCATCTGCCTTCGGCTCAGGTCATGATCTCAGGGTCCTGGGATCAAGCCCCGAGTTGGGCTCCCTGCTCAGCGGGGAGCCTGTTTCTCCCTCTCCTCCCCACTCATGCTCTCTGTCGCTCTCTCTCTCTCTCTCAAATAAATAAAATAAAATCTTTAAAAAAAAAAATCAACTTAGAAGTAAGTAGTTGTATCCTTTTGTAGATTGGGAACTGAGGTTCAAAATTAGAGAAACTTGACCAAATTCCAGAATCCAGTAAGCATCAGAGCCAGATTTGGGAACCCAGTTGTATTTTTTCCATTATGCTGTGTCACCTCCAAATGAGTTAACCTTATCGGTTTTGTTTATATCCCCTTTCATAGTCTGAAAAGCATCATTGGGATTGGAGTTGGAGCTGGAGCTTACATCCTCAGCAGATTTGCAGTAAGTACATAAAGGATTAGTCTCAATACCCTTGAGGCACACTGCCTAGGTCACAGCTCTACTTCTCTGTTAGTTACCAGGTACTACTGTGGGTCTTATTTAAGTTTTTCTAAAAATTCTGTGAACAGCAGATAGAGGATTATATGTAAAGCCCAGTTTTGTATTTATAGTACCTGAAAAATCACAAATGAGGGCATTACATCAATAAAAGGTAATTCTTAGAGAGAACTTACGGAATTTTGTGCAGCCATTAAAATTTTGTAAGAAGAGCTTATAATGATATGTGATTCACGTATACTATAACGTTAACAAAGAAGTGAGAATACAGATCCACATAGTTTGTCATAGGCATAGGAAAGGACTGGAAGGAGATATACCAAAATATTAACAGGGATTGATGTTGTGTGGTTAGGTAATACGAGGTTTTATTTCCTAATTTTTATAATTTCTATTTATCAGATTCTCTATAGTGAGTATAATCAGTGTAATCAGAGGGAAGGAAAGTAAACTAGAGAGTTTTGAGTGTACATAGAAATGTTTGTATTGATTTCTTTTTTTTAACTCTTTTTTTTTTAAGATTTTATTTATTTATTTGAGAGAGAGAGAATGAGAGACAGAGAGCATGAGAGGGAGGAGGGTCAGAGGGAGAAGCAGACTCCCTGCTGAGCAGGGAGCCCGACACGGGACTCGATCCCAGGACTCCAGGATCATGACCTGAGCCGAAGGCAGTCGCTTAACCAACTGAGCCACCCAGGCGCCCCTGTATTGATTTCTATTTAAGAAATAGAAATTAAGAAATTTTTTCAGGTGCCTCCTGAGTGATAGACAGCCTTCTGGGGTGGGGTGGTATCACCCATTCAGTGGTTTCTGAAAAAAAATAGAAGCTCCTTTTGGGGACAAGGGCATAGGAGTGTGAAATTCGCCAGTCTGAGCCTCAGCAGCCCCTTATGCCAGGTACTTACAAGGGTAGTTTCCCAGCAGGGAAGACCCACCATGAGCTAAACTGCAGAGATGCCAAGTTCCTTCCTCTGCTGCAGAAATAAATACCATGTCTCCTCCCAGATCCTTGCAAGGCAAGATCATTTGATAGCACTTTAAGGAACTGGTTTTCCAGTTGCTAAGTCAGTCTTAAAGAGCAATTTTTCCAAATATTCTTCCTAGCACCTCTCTGAAGTGTTACTTTCAAATCTGAGGCATTATGGCATAATGCATAAGAAGTGATTAACCATGCTCCAGTTTTTTTAAAAGAATGCTGGGAGTGGAACTTTCAAACGTTGTCTTTGTCTCCTATTTCAGCTCAGTCATCCAGAGCTCGTGGAAGGCCTTGTGCTCATTAACGTTGACCCTTGTGCTAAAGGCTGGATTGACTGGGCAGCTTCCAAAGTAAGCACCAGATGGTATTCATTGGCTCATCTTGGTCCCTTCTCAAAATGTCCTACTTTTATTTTTATTTTTTCATTGAAGTATATCCAGATAAAGGCAAAAACTTTTAAGTGTACAGCTTGATGAATGTAATTACATATGTAATTGCCACTCAGTCAATATATAGACTATTTCCACCTCCGAGGATTCCCTTGGGCCTTTTCTTTAATTAATACTTCCTCTCCTTCCCAGATAGAACTGTTACTCTGATGTCTGTCACCATAGATAGGTTTTCTGTATTCTTAAACTTCATATAATTAGAATGATAGAATATATATTCTTTTGTATCTCGCTTCTTTCATCCATTGTTGTTAGTGATCCACCTTCATGTTAGGTGTAGTGGTAGTTCTTTTCATTTTTTTATTGTTATTTATTTATTTATTGGGGGGGCAGAACGGGAGAGAGAATCTTAGGCAGACTCCATGCGCAGCACAGAGCCCAGCGTGGGGCTCGATCTCACAACCCTAAGATCATGACTTGAGCTGAAATTAAGAGTCAGATGCTCAACTGACTAAGCCACCTGGGTGCTCCTCAGCATGTTTTTAATTCTTGTTTAGTAGTCTATGGTGTGAATAGACAAAATGAGTTGTTTGTTATTTGCTTGTTATGAATAAAGTTCCTGTGCACATTCTTTTACATGTCTCTCAGTAGACCTACACATTTGTTTCTCTTGGCTCTGTACCTAGAAGTGGAATTGCTGGGTCATAGGGCAGTTGCATGTTTCGCTTTGGTAGCTACAGACAATGTTCCAAAGTGTTCGGCCAGCTTACACACCAGTGATGTGTGGAAGTCCCAGCTGTTCCACACCCTCACCAACATTTGATAGTCATTTTAATTTTTGTAAAACAGGAGCAGTTTTATTTGTAATAATTTGTTTATTTCTATATGGTACCCATCACCAAAATAGCTTTAGTTATTAAAAAACAATTTTGGGGGGCACCTGGGTGGCTTAGTCGGTTGAGTGTCCAACTCTTGATCTCAGCTTAGGTCTTGGTCTCACATTGCCCATCTCAGTAGCCCAGCATGGAGCCTACTTTAAAAAAAAAAGGGTAAAAGAACAAAAAAAACCCTAATTTTTAATTATACCATCTTTTTTATTTTAAATGATGCTTATGGGTAAATAATGCTGGGTTTTAATTTGTATTTCCATAAGGGCCCATGATGTCTGAGCACCTTTTTTGAAACTTACTGGCCATTTCAGTATCCTCTAAGGAAGTGACTGTTCAGGTCCTTTGCCTTTTTTTCCTTAATTGGATTGCTAGTCTTCTTCTTACTGATCTGTAAGCTTTCTTTACATATTTTGCATATAAATCCTTTGGTGAGTACATGTAAATATCTTCTGGCAATCTGTGGTTTGCATTTTCACTTTTTTTTTTTAAGATTTTATATATTCATTTGACAGAGAAAGTACAAGCAGGGAGAGCAGCAGGCAGTGGGAGAGGGAGAAGCAGGCTCCCGGCTGAGCAGGGAGCCCAATGGGGGGCGCCATCCCAGGACCCTGGGATCATGACCTGAGCTGAAGGCAGACGCTTAAACAACGGAGCCACCTAGGCGCCCCACATTTTCACTCTTTTAATGAGTGAAATGAATGAATGAGTCACCCTCTTCACTGTACCCCAAATAACTAGCAACTGCACCAAAAGATGGGTAGAATTGAAGATGTTTGCTATCTGAAAAATGAAGATATTTGCTATCTACATAGAATTTACTATTTAGATAGAATGTTATCTACAATCTGTTCAAGGAGATAGGAAACTACAGGAGTATATTCTAATTGATGGAGGATCGTAGAGCCCAATGGTCAAGAAAGAATTCTTCAGATGTTTACTGTACAAAAAGGTGTATTTATTATAGCAAGGGGATAGGACCCATGGGCAGAAAGAGCTACACTGGGATTTTGAGGAGCTATTGATGATATACTTTTAAGTTTGGGGACTGGTAATAACCTAAGTGTCTCAGGGGAGTTTTGCACGTTAAAGAAGAGTTATAGGATCCTGGAGGTCTGGCTATTGTCAAGATAAGGTGGTTTTTAGTCTCTAGCAAAACATTAAGGCAGCCATGAGTTCCTTGAGGAATGTCACACATATCCCACCTCTGGAGAGTGTTAGCTTGTGCTTTGCCCTCAGTTTACCTTTTGCTCCCTCATCGTAATGACTTTACAAATATAAACAATCCCAGCAACAACCAGAGTGAAAAGAGGGAATAAGGGTAAAAGCATAGTATTATATAACTTTTGCATTGAACTGACCTGTGCTTAAAAAGTCATTCACTGTTTTTAGATTGGAAAAGGAATTACTTTTGAAACATTTTTCAGTATTAACATACTAATGTTATTTGTATGTTATTTTAATCTGAAACTATGAGGTTGAGATTAAAGCAGTGATGTTATAAAGTTTTTCAGAGAATAACCCAAGCTTTCATTACCTGCTAAAAGATGCCTAATGTAGTAATCTCATTTTTAAACAAATACCTACTTATAAGTATTTTTAAGTTGCCATAAGTGTTTATTCTAATACACCACTGGATATAGTCTCCAAAATACCACTACCCAGCTTGTCATATGTATCAAGAATCTTTAGTGATATTCAGCCATGAGATTCAGTAATTCAATATTTAGGAACTTACCTGAAGGATAAATAGTGATACTTACAAAGATTTAAATAGAAGGATAATAATTTTAAGAATCTAATACCTGTCTAGGATTTGCTGATGTGATTTGATGGGGGAGTCCAAGAGTGAATGGTCAAGAAAGAATTCTTGAGACAAAAGTTTTTGGTGCAAAAAGGTCATTTTATTAAAGCACAGCGACAGGACCCAGGGGCACAAAGAGCTGTATTAGGATTATGAGGAGCTATTGATTATATACTTTTAAGTTGGGAGGGGTGGAAGGAAGTTTCCAAAAGGATTTTCATATGTTAAAGAAGACTTAAAGCATCCTAGAGGCCTAGCTATTGTCAAGCTAAGGTGGTTTTTTCCTCTAGCAAAGTATTAACGTTAAGATTGGGAGCTCCTGGAGGAATGTCACACTCTACCTGTCCCAAGTATCTGTCAATGGGCTAGAGTTAAAAGGTAATTTTTATCTACCTTTCCTTTTGCCTTTGTTCTCTACATCATTTGCTATGTACCAGGCACTGTTTCTAAATGTTCTATGTATGTTCAAACTTGTCATTCTCAGGACAACCTAGTGAAATTATTACTATTACTATTATGTAATATTACTATTATGTAATATTACTATTATTAATAGTAATAGTAATATTATATAATAGTATATTATTATTATATAATATTATTATTATTATCCCACAGAGAAATTAGATCATTTGCTTAAGGTCACACAGCTAGGAAGTCAAAGAGCCAAAATACTCATTAAAGCCTTGTTTTTAGGGCTAAAAGATGGAAACAGCCTAGGTGCCAATACTATAGAGCAACAAAATTTGATACAACCATAGAGAGGAATATCCTGCAACCAAAAATGTGTTATTTGGTTATTTAAAGAAATGAGAAAATTCTCATGTTTAAAAAATAGAAAAAACTATATATGTCCCAATTTTGTTAAAAAGATATGCATAAGAAAAGAGGGAAAATAATTTGGGCAGGCTCAGTCTGATGCAGAAAATGTTGGGGTTCGGATCCAACAAGCCAAGAAAGAACTCTTCTTTTTTTTTT